TTTTTTTTTTTTTTGGTGGTTGTTGTTGTTATTGTTGTTGTTTTTACCTTGGGCATGGTTTATGAAGTTACACATTAGTGCTGTAGGCTGAGAAGCTTGGCTGAAGTCCATCTTGGGTAATGGATTCTGGTTGAAGGATCATAAGCTAGGAAGTCATGCAGAATCGGTCCGAGTCTTGATTCCATCCCCCCAAGTCTGACACGTGCTCTCCAAGTCTTCATTTCCACTGTTCTAAGAGTAATATTTGCCCTAAGGATATAATACCTGTGAAGTTGCAGAGAGATGCCTTACATATGGTAATAGTTATTAACACAGAAATTAACTTATAAAAAATAATAGACTTGACTATGAATAATCATCTGTTCAGTTATTCATCTTGTTTCCCTCTTCCGCCCCACTGCTCTGTGATCTCTTAGAGCACGGAAATTTCTTTTGCTCATTTTTTATGACCCTACCACTGAGCATATTGTCTTATTTATAGCTCACTTCCCAATAAAGGAGAGAAAGAATTGGAAATAACTTCAAACTATGCTAACCAATGTCATTTCCAATCATACTCAACATGAACTTATGTATCTGTGCATTAGGTCTTTTCCTCTTCCTTTTCACATACCATACTCAATAACTAAGAAAGGGGAAAGCATCAGGCCAATTGCCCTTAACTCCTTTATGATGTACAAGAATTAGGTAGAAGCACACTCCTTGAGTTGAGAAACCAAAAAATTACCAAAAGATTATTTCTTATCACTGTGTAGTTTAAATCTCCCTGCTTCAAAACTGGGTCTGCTTTTGGGGAGTCAGTTTATTTTTTAAATAACTTACTCTGGAACACAAAACCAGAAATTTGGCAAAAATAATTGCAGTATAAATTTTGGTCTTGTTAAACAGTGTTTGCAATAGAAAGCTGGTTATTTCAATTCCCCAAATATACACTAAACTTCAATGTGCCAGGCAATATTAGACACAGAAAAACCCCACCATGAGTAAGACATGCACCTATTCCAAAAATACTATGCTTGCCACCTAATAAAATGACCCTACACTTACCTTCTCTACTTTTATTTCTCCAAATGTGTAAAGGACTCAATTGTTAGGCTATTTAAAACTGCTATTGACCTCTCCTCTCTCACTAATCCACATATATAATAGAATTATCCATAATGCAAAATACAATTTTTTAAAAATTCTTTATCAATCAATGAGTATTCATTTTGCAACTACAATTCTATGAGCCTGGCTGTGTTAAAACATAGAGGCACAGTTTATATGTGCCTGGTATTTCTACAAAACATGTAGGTGCTAACCTATATGATTTTTAAATTATGTACCGAAAAGCAAGGCAATATTTACTTTTAAACATACTAAAATACAATGTGATATCTATTTATTTAAATTAAAATGGACTTTTTATTGAGATATAATTTACATGGAGTATAAAGTTTGATAAATTTGACAAATGCATAGACCTGCAGAAATGCCACATTCCTAACAAGTTGGAGACCTATCACCCCAGAAAGTTCCCTCCTGCCATATCTCAATCAATTCCTATCCTTACTCTCTTCAGAGGCAAAGACTGTTCTAATTTCTCTTACTCTGTATTAGATTAATCTGTTCTAGAAAATCATATAAATAGAATCATATACTATGTACTCTTTTGTGTCAGTTTCTTTGCTCAATATTGTGGCTTTGAAATTTATCCATGTTTCTGCCTGTATCAGCAGTTCTTTTTCACTGTTGAATAATATTCCACTGTATGCATATATGACAATTTATTTGTCTGTTATTCTGTTGGTGGTATATGGGTCATTTCTTATTATGAGCTATTATGAATGAAGAAGTCATAAGTATCCTATGAAAATCTTTTTGTGTGTATATTTTACTTCTCTTGAATAAAATCCTAAGAGGAAAATCCTTGAGTTACAATGTAGGTATATGTTTACTTTATAAGCAACTGCCAAGGAGTGGTGAACTTCTATGGGCAATGTTTAAGAATTCTGTTTACTCCCTATCCTTGGCAAAATTTGATTTGTCAATATTTTCATTTTAGTCTTCCTTGAAAAAAAATTATGTTGAACACTTGTTCACATGCTTACAGGCCATTTGTACATATTTCTTTTTTGGAGTGTTGGTTCATGCATTTTGCCCATTTTGGGCTTTGTTTTTGTTGTTGTCCATTAATTGAGCTGTTGAAATTCTTCATAGATGTCTTTTGATAGCTATAGGATTGCAAATATTTTCTCATCTGTAGTTTATCTATTAATTTTCAAAAACATGCCTTTTGAGAAGAGTTTTCAGTTTTGATGAAGTGTAATTTACCAGCTTTTTCTTCTATAGGTAATGCTTTCCGTAACCATCTAAGAAATGTGTATCTACTCTAAGGTCATGAGTGTTTTCTCCTATGATTTCTTTTAGAGGCTTTATATGTTGTAGCTTTTATATTTTCATAGGGTGTGATGGTTAATTTTATGTATCAACACGACTGGGCTACAGGGTACCCAGATAGCTGGTAAAACACTCTGGGGGTGTCTGTGAGGTAGTTCCTGGGACAAATTTGCATTTTAGTTGATAGCCCATGTAAAGATCACACTCAATAATGTGGGTAAGCATTATCCAATTCATTGAGGGCCTTAATAGAACAAAAAGGAAAAAGAGTGAATTTGTTCTCTCTTCTTGAGCTGGGACATCCGTCTTTTCCTGCTATTGGATATCAGGGCTCCTGATTCTCAGATCTTTGGACTCAGACCAAAACTTACACTGTGGATTCCATGCCATGGGGTGTTATTAAATACAGATTCATTCTCTTTGGTATATATAGATCTATTCAGATTTTCTTTTTTTCTTTAAGATTTATTTAGAGAGAGTGAGAGCAAGTGGGGAAATGGCAGAGAGAGAGGGAGAGACAGGATCTTAAGCAGGCTCCATGTTCAGCACAGAGCTGGTCCTGGGCTTGATCTCACAACCCTAAGATCATGACCTAAGCCAAAATCAAGAGTCAGAGGCTTAACTGACTGAGTCACCCAGACACCCTGATCTATTCATATTTTCTAATTATTTTCATACCGGTGTTGGTAGTTTACATCTTATAGTAATTTTTCCATGTCATCTAAATTGTAGTATTATAAAAAATTATTTGTAATATTTGTTATTCTCTTAATGTCAATAGGATGGGAGACATGTCCCCTATTTAATTATGGACATTTGCAATTTGTGTTTTCTTTTTTCTTTTAAACAGTCTAGCTAGTGGTGTATCAATTTTATTGATCTTTTCCAGGAATCAGTGTTTTGTTTCATTGATTTTCCCTATTGTTTGTTGTTTACCGCTTCATTGATTTCTACTCTTATCTTTATTATTTCCTTCCTTCTACTTATTTTATATTTAATTTGCTCTTCTTTTTCTAGCTTCTCAAAGGAGAAGCTTAGAGCATTGATTATAAATCATTGCTATTTTCTAATCTAAGCATTTAAAGCTATAAATTTTCCAATAAGCACTATTTTTGTGGTACCCACAAATTTTAATATATTGTGCTTATATCCTAATTTAATTTAAAATATTTCAAATATTAATTTTGATTTCTTTCATGAGGCATTTAGATGTTTCTTCCTTTCTAAATGCTTGGAAATGTTTTTTCTATCGATTTCTAATTCAATTTCACTGTAGTGAGAAAAGATACTTTTAAATTTATGGCTTGCTTTATGACTCAGTACATGTTTTATCTTGGTGAATGCTCTATGCTCTCTGGAAAATAATATGTATTCTACAGGAGTTGGTTGCAATTTCTTATAAATATCAGTTGTGTTAATTCAATTAATATTATTTAAATCTTCTATATCATCACTGATTATTTTTGTTTAGTTGTTCTAACAGTTGCTAAAAAAAAGACTATTAAAATTTTGAAGTCAAATTGTGGATTTATCTATTTTCCTTTTAATTTTTTTTAGCGTTTATTTATTTTTGAGAGAAAGAGACAGAGCGTGAGTGGGAGAGGGGCAGAGAGAGAGGGAGACACAGAATCTAAAGAAGGCTCCAGGCTCTGAGCTGTCAGCACAGAGCGCAGTGCGGGGCTCAAACTCATGAGCGGTGACATCATGACCTGAAGTCGGACGCCTAACCAACTGAGCCACCCAGGCACCCCTATTTTCCATTTAATTCTGTCCATTTTTGCCTCATATATTTTGAAGTTCTGTTACTGGATGCATAAAGGTTTAAGATTGTTATGTCTAATTATACCTTCTTGGTGATTTGATCTTTTAAGTGTCTCTCTTTATTTCTGGTCATATTCTTTGTCCTGAAATGTATTTTGTCTAATATCAATGTAGTCACTCCAGGTTTCTAATAGTTTTTTCATGCTATGTTACTTCACTCTTAACCTATCTATGTCTTTATACTGCATAAAGTTGAGTCATGCTCTTTTAACCAGTCTGACAAATTTTGCCATTTAGTTATAGTT